TAAGCTATGATCTTACTAATTTGAGGCTAAAAAGTTACTCATGTTGTTTCCAAGTATTTGATTTATTACTGAAATTTTAATGTGACTTCTTTTCTTGCAGATTATTAACGCTCGAGATTCTTTTACACGAAAAAACATACTCAAATGACATCGTTAGAAGATTTTTCAAGATTGGATTAATGCTTGAAATGGTGAGTACTTTGAATAATTACTTACGATTTGAATAATACATAGATAGATTATTATTTATATTGTTTACTCGCAAGTTACCTATGTGTATTATGTGTTACAAAATATGGCAAATGTTAAAATGGAAGTAATATCTAATGCGACACAAAAGCCAGTTCGATTAGCCATTAGAATAGAATATAGGTGTGAGTGTATGATGTAATAATACACACACAATGTGTATAATATGTAGAAATGTTACATCTACCTGTCTGCATTATGTACTTGGTTATATTTATGCCTAATAGATATATGTCGGCAAATAGGTACCTATATATACCGAATAATAACGCGCCTTTTTTCTTCGTTTTTTGTTTTTAATAGCGCAAATTTTGTCCTTTTCTAGATGTGAAACTGATATATCCAACGATCGGATGTCGCAAAAAGGTTGCTAAAACAATACATTTTACTTTTAGCACTTTTCACACGTTATTGTTTTCGACATATTTATATTTACACAATTTTCGTCATTCAACTTCGTACGTATGCGCCAGAATCAGAAATAATGGAAGAATTATGTCCCTTTTCGAATAGTCGAACAACATGGAACAATGCTACTTTATTCAAAGCGCCACCATAAAATCTGTTTGCGCACCACTTTATTTATATGTGTCTTATGCATAGACACACGCATATATGTATTAAACTTGTTTAAACGTAACTATTATACATGAAAAACTGAGATATTTTCAAATATATCAATAGGTATTAAGCGGCGGTTTTATGCAAATGGGTGAAAGCTCCGGTATTATGTTTTTTCCATTAAATTACTTACCTTATATGTTCTTTAACATATGAAGATAAAATCAAAATACACCACAATAAATTAAATCTTGAGGTATAAATGCCGAAATAATATTTATGAGGTAATATTACGGATGATATTTTTAAACACTTTGCTGGCAATTTATCGATTAATGTTATTTGAAACTTGGAATACCTATTATTCAGGTAAGCTAAAACTTTTTCCGAGCATAAAAATTTCACATGTTTCGTCGGAATTTTTATTTTTGTGTCGCAGAAGCGAAAATGCATAATTTGGTGAACGTGTGGAATATACTTTTTTAATTACGTCTATATCGGAAAACATTACCTGCTTACCTGAAAACTGTTTTAAACTCATCGAACTCTTTTTACGGTTATATATCTATAGAGATGACTGAGTATATTTGTACGAATTATCCTATATCGCAATCGTACTTTTTGAAAGATAATACCGCCTTTTGATGATCACTCAACTCGCTACTAGTGTATATTATACTAACGTGCTTAAGGGTGGATTTAGACGAAATTGGCGAATGTTCGCTCGCGCTCATTTCTCTCGAAAGTTTCGCGAGTGTTTAATATTCTTCTCGTTGTTTGTACTCTATGTTCTTGTTCCCTAAATATAAGTAGTTAAAGTTCGTGTTTGGACAATTCAATAATCCTAATTTAGGGTCATTTTTTTAAACTGGTTCCTATGCCAAATTGGTATTTTTTGTGTACAGACTAAATCCTTTCCCAGTAAGTAGGTATAAAATACACGTAGACAATTCTGAAAACTTTACGTGTACACCATTTTAAGTACATACGAAAAATTAGTGTTTTAGCGTCAATGTACGCACATCTGCTTGCCGTGTTTATTTTTGCAGTCGCGATGGCCTGGAGTTCGCACTCAGTTTTACCGTGGGCTGTAATTAAGAAGGCATACATTACACGGCACCTTGTTTACAACGCCGAAAGAGATCGAATACCATGCCATACACACACATTTACTTACACTCATTTTACGTGTATATAACGTCATCTTTTACTATCTACCTGGGCATGTATTATTGGCAAATAATTAATATTTATTACTGAAATACGAATCTTATTACAAAACATTCGTAGATATCTGATAATGATATACGTGTATGACCAACTTTCGCTTTACAATATCAATATAGGTACCTGCGACACTTAAGTTAGTGTGCTACCGTACAATTTTGTGAATCAAAAAATGGTCCCGTTCGGCTAAGGGCTGTTTCGCTAATAGCGATGCTGTGAAATCCTAAGCGCTGTTCTCCAACCTATCTGTTCGGCGGTAGGAAGATGGAGAGGTACCAAGCACACACACGTATGCTTGTATGAACGTTGAAACAATTTCGCTTTTTACCGATCCTCTTCGGACGCGGTCGAACCGTTGCCACCTGGTGGGGGTAGCTTATTGGTTAGTACCATAGCTTACCATCGTTGTGGTTACAACCGCGTGTGTAGCGCTCCTTAAGATAAAAATATTGTACATTTATACCGCCAATGTAGAACGTCAGCCTTTCTTGGGTCCCTAAATTGGCCAATCGTAAGAATATATGAACTTGAAAAAAGTCCTTGCCAATCCTTTATCCTTAGTGCCGTTTAGTTTTCAATAAATTATCGCTAGCTATGGTCGCGGACTACAGTGACGTTATTATTATTGGTGGTGGTAGTGAAATAATTTGTGCGTAGTGATGATAAAGGGCCGAAAGAATGACGTCGTCCCGAATTTAATCTCCTATCTACCTGTTACCTGTTTTTATGACGAATGTTACTAGTGTACGACAGTGTCAATACTATGCAGGACAGAAGGGGAGGGCCTTCAATGAATTTTGGACTACACGCCCTACCACTGTCTTCGGAAAACTCATCATCCAATATACCGAATACTTTAAATGTAAGTTACCTAGCCCGGGTACAAGTTCCGAGTACATTAACTAGTACCTTTATCGCCTCGCTAATTTCCTAAGGAGAAAGAGTTAAAAATGCCCAATCGTTATATACGCAAAATTTAATTCTTTAAAACTGAACGTTCCATGTGTTTTATTCATATCATTAAATTATGAAATTATTTAATTGCTTCGATAAATTAATAATAATGCCTGGTTTAGTGATTTCTATAAATCATCCATCAGGATTAACAACGACGAGCTGAATCACATTTTTGTGAATATCTAATTGATTATTACCATAGGGATTAGTTATCAGGATTCGTAACTAATATTAAGATACTTGCACCATTTCTTAATTATTTGAATAGTCGAAATAATTTTTTTATGTTAATCCTGTACTATCGCCGTCGTTAGAACAGGACCTAATTTTACGTGCCCATCAGATATCATTTATGATATAGTAAATATGCCTGGCGAATTGTATAATGGATTTCGCATTAATTAATTTATAATTCTCACTTAATTAAGTGCTCTTGATCTGATAAAATTCCGGTTGTGCCAGACAACAAACAAATAAAAAGAACAACTAGGTACATTTGCATCATACTTAGGTACCACTTATAGTTTTAACGCAGAGTAACTAATCAATTTCTTGTAATAGTTGAATATTGAAAATGAGAAGGATATATAATAAATTAAGCGCAAACACGTACGTTTTGCCATTAGTAAAGACTTTAATGGGCAATATATCTATGAAATGTTACTTCTAAAATCACTGCTGTTTACCTTCCTTTTACCTTTACCTAATCAATACCTGAGAAATANATCGAATCTTTCTTGTCAATCATCAGCCGAAGGCTAATACGCTCAGCTACAACTTTGTCATTCAAATTGAATAATTCATGTGAGTAATAGATACCAATTTTATAACAAATTGCACATATCCAGCGGCATCTTCAGATTCATGTTTAGTTAATCCTTACAGGGTGAAAAAAATGTTATTTGGGCTGAACTGAATTGTCGCCTCATAATTATTTATGAAAAGGTAACGGAAACAAACAAGAAGGGCGAATTAGTACCTGGTGGGCCCAGGTAGTCGAGATCGCGTTAATTGATTCTCAGATTAGCGTGTTATTATTGTAAAATATAAACATATCAACTAACTAGAGTGTAGGATACTTATATTAAATTAAGGAAATATTAAGGCGTTGTTTCAAGACAAAAATAATAACACCACCTTTGTAGAGTATCACTCAACTTTTTCTGGAATAATATTTATATTATTTTCTAACATACATAGATAAATTTACCTAATTGGACTAATGCGATTAGTAAGACCTGTTAAAAGAGTTGGTGACAATTCGATCATCGGTTTTTCTACCTGCTACATTGGAGTCGTGAATTATGATTTATTTTATTTTACAATTCCAGGTAAATACTAAGTTAGTGCAGGTAGATTGCAGGTACGCAGCTGTACGCTCTTTTTAATGGTCTTCGGTATGTTTTCTTTTATCTTTTTTATTCTAGATAGTTGAACTTCAGGTAATAAACTTTTAAAAAACCCTTTTCCGGGAGAGACATATACTTTATATAAAGGTTCAGCTAAACATATGGGAAGTATAGATACTTCTTTTTATCGGCATTACGTCTTTTTATTTCCCAGAAGCGAAAATGCATATTTTGGTGAACGTGTGGGGAATATATTTAATTTTTCTGCCACACGTCGATCTGAAAATATCGCCTGCCTCTGAAAACTTACCGAACCAAACCGAACCCCCAAAATCTTTTGAACAAAGCGTAAAACACTCCTCAAAAGCTGCAAATTGCTTTTACCCTTTTTATCACACTAGAAATTTATTAGTGAGATACCTACCAATTGGGAGTGAGAAAAGCGACATGAAAATTCGTTAATCTGATGTGATGGCATGAAGATGGAAAGTTTTATGTTGTCAATTTCCACAATCGTGAGAAATTTCTGATAAAGTAGCGAATGCCGTTGTATGTTAGGAACATGTGCGCGGTAACTCGGTGAAAGCACGCACGCCTTTGTGACACCACGACAATGTTCAGTGGTAGTTCGACTGCCGCGCGATTAACAACGACGTGTTTTCACTGGTTTTGATTCGCGCACACTGCCGCGCATGCTCTCGCGCTTATCAAAAAAAAACACCCCATACGTAAAATTAACAAAACAAAAATCAACAATTTTAATTAAGATCTACATAAGTATTATCAAATACTTACTTAATAAAAATGCTTTCAAAACGAAAAAAAACAAATAAATAATATGTATATATCTATTTTATCTTAAGCGGCTAACGACTGACCGTCATGCCTCGTTTGAAGTGATTAGTTATCGGCGATAGCGTATTTTCCTACAGGGTGCTCGCGTATAGGAATGATGTCTACACAAAGTGTTAATGAGGAACATTATCTACAATAATTAATAGGTACCTACCCTTGTTTCTTTTTTTTTTTAAGGTAACACATTAACATTTGCTCAATAAAAAACTAATACTAACAACTCAATAGGTAAATTGTGAAATTCAACATGGATAATAATACCTATTTGTTTCTACCTGCTATCTACCCACTCATTTTCAGAAAGTGCTTACCGACAATTTATTACTAACCGCAAAAAAATATTTAGATGCTTATCTCTTTAAGCTTCCGTTATTAGGCATACATGTAGTAGCATAAATCTAGTTGTTCTTTTTAATACATATTTGGAACAATTTTGTAGCAGGTAGACAGATTGTGTTTAAAAAGTAAATAACGATAGCATTGTGTATGTACACTTGTGGACATTTTACTGCCCAATTAGTAGAAAAATGATCGGGTGGGTCCGTTTGTGTGACTTTTCGGTTTAGTTGACTTTGCTATTCAGTTTCCGTAAGTTGTGAACGCTACGTTGTATCCCCTCCGAATTCCGCGTACTTCCCCTAACTGGAGTAATTATCGGTGTTTGCTGAGTAGGCTGTTTAACGCCTAATCTTATAATAGCCTTGTTAAGTTAAATAGGGACCTTAAAATTAAGTTATAGCCCAAAGATTAGAATAACAGTTGTCACAGCATTGGGCCGCATGGGGACCAATAGAACAGGTGGGTACGCCTGTCGCGATGTCACTGAGCGGTGGGGATGTCACCCAGGTCGATGCGCATGCTCTGGGCGGGCTCTGGTTGTCACCTGAAGTTACGCCTATTACACCCAATCACTCCGCGCTGCCACCTCACCTGCCCATTCGCCTCTATACACAATCTGCATACATATGCCCACCTTACTATCCAGGTATAATACTACTGAGAGAAGAGAGAGCCTTGTACTTATCTCCGGTATAGGTTCCGTTGAATTGTATTCGATCCCTTTTCTCACAGGCTTGAGTATCGAACGCGGCGCTGGAAAAGGACAAATGACCCTGGGAAACATCCAGCAGCCCGACTCGAAGTGCTAGTAGCTGTGTAGTAGACACGTCAATAACATTCCCCGCACTCTTTCTTCATCTTTTATTACTCACCACAATGGGTTATTTTCCTTTCCTCATAACTGATACCTCAGGTTCCTCTATTTTCCACCCAGCTTTTTTAATCAATTCTAATATCTCACATTTCGTAACTAATCAAATTTTCATAACTTTCGGTGACGATTCCGAGCGATATTATAAAAAAAGTATTTTTATTGAAAGGTTTATTTATACCTGCTTATAGATAGGTTCAAATACTTCTTGTATCTGGGTATGCTTAAGTTATAATCCAAATATAAATAAAAGTACGTGTCAAGATTCCATTAAAGACAACGGGTTGTCGTCGGTATTATCCTTGAAAGAAAAGGCCCGAAATTAATTGGTGGCCATAAATCTCATCCCTCACCTGATCCTTCTCTCTATCCTCCCCTCTTCGGACTGTCTAGTAAGTGGATGTTCCCGTAACCCCTTATATCCTTTGATCAAAGTCCAAGTCTACACTTATTTTTTTTTTTCGCCAGTGGAGGGCAATTGGAAATAATAAAAAAAAAAGTAGCAGTACATTAGGAGGGCACATTATACTCGCGCATAAGCAGGCGGGGCTACAAGCAACTGTCACTGCTGCGACGGTCCCTTGTCTCCAAGTTGCGCAAGCGCATTTCCTTAGGACCGTAGGCCGTCGCGACGTTGTGACACGCCCGGCGTCCAAGCGACCTTTGACCCCTCAGTGTCCAACCGACGGTTAACGGATTGTGTCTCGCCTCAACCCTCGCCCTCAATTGCACGGCAAACGCAAGGCTACATGCCATATATATATATATAAATACATATATACATATGTCAGAAGAGTGCTCCTAGCTACCCACCCTAAATACATACCAAGTGCGTTCCTGGCAATGTTCGGTGAGTTCACAAACAAGAAAAACAAAACCATAAAGAACAAACATCAGAAACAAATTAACTAAAAACCTTGTCTTTCTTTCACCCATAAGAACCTTACACGCAAATTTTATGACTTTACCTTGTGTATGTGTAAGTTTGTCAGTGATTCTACATTTCCAGGCTGAACTTGCGCCCACATATTTTTATTAGGAGTTTTTGTTCTTAAAGGATTATTCAGCTTCTGTATGTATGAACTGCAGAGTCTTGCCAATTTTATTATGATGAAATCAATTCAGAAACTTCCCACCTGAAGTTAATCTTGACTTTAATCAAAAAAAGACTTTTTATTACATAACCCACCACACAAACTTTTACATAAACTATTAGGTATAGTACATGACGTGTTTGTTTCATAACTTCTATTGTTTCTAAACTAAAGTCAGATGATGTTAATGTGTCTCTTGAAGCTTCATTTGTCTCCGCTGAATGAGACAGCTTTCTAATTCGTTCCTAATTGAAATTTAATAAAATAGTACCTAGTTCATTTGCCTATATCAGATTTATAAAAATTTCCATTTTCAAAAAAAAAATAGGGAACTTACGAGTGTGATTATGTTGGAATAACAGAATTCCTTACAAAAAATTTGCAGGATTGTGTTGCCAATCATAGGCTACAATGTACAATTCTGATATTGGGGAATCCTATCGAGTGTAGAAGACGAATATAATAAGGAATCATAACATAAACACTATATATAGCATAATTTGTTTCGATATATTCGCTAGATTGGGTTTTGAAAAATAATTTCCAATTGTTCAACCTGTATGGTACTTTTACCTCACATATTTCACGTTTAAGTGGCGTTATGTGCAGGTAGTATGCGAGTAGTAATTATTATACGAGTTTTATTGCCGTTATAACACACACGATCGGCGTTTGTGAAAAAGCATTGTCATAAGTTAAGAATTTATAGTTTATTTGTATTAGTTGGTAAGTAATAATAATTATTGACAATGCTCGATTTGATTTATGTCCATAAATACGTTATCTTTAACAGGGTCACTTGCACTGGTGGTAATGCAAGTGGCACTTGTTAGGTCGCAGGCCAATTAATACGTAGATTGCATGCACATATGAATATAACGTATTGCACATCCGACTTTTTATAATGCAATTAAATGTAATTAGTAATTTAATGACAACTTCGGCAAATAAGTCGTCTGTCGATAGATAAGAGCGGTCGCAACATATTTCTATGTTAGATGTTATTTACATTCGGAATAGTTAGGTAGGTACTTTTTTTATTTCTTATTATGGGAATAGGATGTTTGTAAATTGATGTCGATATATATATAGGTCAATAAGTCATCTACCAAAAATGCTCTTTTTCTGGGAACATTTTATAGGACAGCAGGACAATTAGTAAATGTATAAATTTCACCCAGGAGCACAGATATATATACCTAACACCTACAAAAATTACCTGCTTCAGGTTTTAGTACAACTGTCCACTATATACCTAATAAAGGCTATTATTCGTAGACCGAGTAAAACTGTCCTTAAAAATTTGCATATTTTACCTGCTCCAGTGCAATAAATTATACATATGTAGATACATCGCCGTTTTAAAGTTATATAGTGTTGGTATTCTTACGATTAATTCAGCATAAGTGACATAAAGTGAACAAATATGATTTATACCTACAGAAACTCACAATTTTTTCGGTTTTAGTGTATTAAAACATCTTTGAAATTATAGTAAAATGATTAAATCACTTATCGCTAATAACAATTTAGGTGTGTTTATGTATGGACATAGGTATGTTAATCGATAAGATTTGTTTTAACTACAAATATTTAGATTAAATATTAATTGTTCACTATGACATAGGTTAATTGCAAAAAAGTTAGGCTGATACCAATTAAAGAGATTGACATTGCCGTGTGTGTGAAACGTTTAATTATCTATGTATGTACATAGGTAGGTATGAATGTTGAGCTTGCAGTATGAATATTTAATAAAGATTCAGCACAATACCCTGCCGTGTAAATTACGCACTCTACTGAATGCGATACTATCGCTTGATTAAATGACGGGTCTTCGTTATTTACGGGCAAATCTTTTGCGTTATTAACTATCACCAATAAAAAATGTTCTGACATGGTAAAAATGCTTCTTTCGTTTGAGTAGATATATAAGGTAAACCTAACCTGTCCTAACCTAAGTCGTTTTTCGTACCCATTACAGAAAAATTGGTCAATGTGTATGATATTTTTGAAAAGTCAAGCCAATACAATTCAGTATATCCAGCGGTTAACAAAAACTAATACAGTTACCAGGGCCTTATCTAACCATTCGTAGTTTAAGTAACTACATAATATATCGAATATAAGCTATGATCTTACTAATTTGAGGCTAAAAAGTTACTCATGTTGTTTCCAAGTATTTGATTTATTACTGAAATTTTAATGTGACTTCTTTTCTTGCAGATTATTAACGCTCGAGATTCTTTTACACGAAAAAACATACTCAAATGACATCGTTAGAAGATTTTTCAAGATTGGATTAATGCTTGAAATGGTGAGTACTTTGAATAATTACTTACGATTTGAATAATACATAGATAGATTATTATTTATATTGTTTACTCGCAAGTTACCTATGTGTATTATGTGTTACAAAATATGGCAAATGTTAAAATGGAAGTAATATCTAATGCGACACAAAAGCCAGTTCGATTAGCCATTAGAATAGAATATAGGTGTGAGTGTATGATGTAATAATACACACACAATGTGTATAATATGTAGAAATGTTACATCTACCTGTCTGCATTATGTACTTGGTTATATTTATGCCTAATAGATATATGTCGGCAAATAGGTACCTATATATACCGAATAATAACGCGCCTTTTTTCTTCGTTTTTTGTTTTTAATAGCGCAAATTTTGTCCTTTTCTAGATGTGAAACTGATATATCCAACGATCGGATGTCGCAAAAAGGTTGCTAAAACAATACATTTTACTTTTAGCACTTTTCACACGTTATTGTTTTCGACATATTTATATTTACACAATTTTCGTCATTCAACTTCGTACGTATGCGCCAGAATCAGAAATAATGGAAGAATTATGTCCCTTTTCGAATAGTCGAACAACATGGAACAATGCTACTTTATTCAAAGCGCCACCATAAAATCTGTTTGCGCACCACTTTATTTATATGTGTCTTATGCATAGACACACGCATATATGTATTAAACTTGTTTAAACGTAACTATTATACATGAAAAACTGAGATATTTTCAAATATATCAATAGGTATTAAGCGGCGGTTTTATGCAAATGGGTGAAAGCTCCGGTATTATGTTTTTTCCATTAAATTACTTACCTTATATGTTCTTTAACATATGAAGATAAAATCAAAATACACCACAATAAATTAAATCTTGAGGTATAAATGCCGAAATAATATTTATGAGGTAATATTACGGATGATATTTTTAAACACTTTGCTGGCAATTTATCGATTAATGTTATTTGAAACTTGGAATACCTATTATTCAGGTAAGCTAAAACTTTTTCCGAGCATAAAAATTTCACATGTTTCGTCGGAATTTTTATTTTTGTGTCGCAGAAGCGAAAATGCATAATTTGGTGAACGTGTGGAATATACTTTTTTAATTACGTCTATATCGGAAAACATTACCTGCTTACCTGAAAACTGTTTTAAACTCATCGAACTCTTTTTACGGTTATATATCTATAGAGATGACTGAGTATATTTGTACGAATTATCCTATATCGCAATCGTACTTTTTGAAAGATAATACCGCCTTTTGATGATCACTCAACTCGCTACTAGTGTATATTATACTAACGTGCTTAAGGGTGGATTTAGACGAAATTGGCGAATGTTCGCTCGCGCTCATTTCTCTCGAAAGTTTCGCGAGTGTTTAATATTCTTCTCGTTGTTTGTACTCTATGTTCTTGTTCCCTAAATATAAGTAGTTAAAGTTCGTGTTTGGACAATTCAATAATCCTAATTTAGGGTCATTTTTTTAAACTGGTTCCTATGCCAAATTGGTATTTTTTGTGTACAGACTAAATCCTTTCCCAGTAAGTAGGTATAAAATACACGTAGACAATTCTGAAAACTTTACGTGTACACCATTTTAAGTACATACGAAAAATTAGTGTTTTAGCGTCAATGTACGCACATCTGCTTGCCGTGTTTATTTTTGCAGTCGCGATGGCCTGGAGTTCGCACTCAGTTTTACCGTGGGCTGTAATTAAGAAGGCATACATTACACGGCACCTTGTTTACAACGCCGAAAGAGATCGAATACCATGCCATACACACACATTTACTTACACTCATTTTACGTGTATATAACGTCATCTTTTACTATCTACCTGGGCATGTATTATTGGCAAATAATTAATATTTATTACTGAAATACGAATCTTATTACAAAACATTCGTAGATATCTGATAATGATATACGTGTATGACCAACTTTCGCTTTACAATATCAATATAGGTACCTGCGACACTTAAGTTAGTGTGCTACCGTACAATTTTGTGAATCAAAAAATGGTCCCGTTCGGCTAAGGGCTGTTTCGCTAATAGCGATGCTGTGAAATCCTAAGCGCTGTTCTCCAACCTATCTGTTCGGCGGTAGGAAGATGGAGAGGTACCAAGCACACACACGTATGCTTGTATGAACGTTGAAACAATTTCGCTTTTTACCGATCCTCTTCGGACGCGGTCGAACCGTTGCCACCTGGTGGGGGTAGCTTATTGGTTAGTACCATAGCTTACCATCGTTGTGGTTACAACCGCGTGTGTAGCGCTCCTTAAGATAAAAATATTGTACATTTATACCGCCAATGTAGAACGTCAGCCTTTCTTGGGTCCCTAAATTGGCCAATCGTAAGAATATATGAACTTGAAAAAAGTCCTTGCCAATCCTTTATCCTTAGTGCCGTTTAGTTTTCAATAAATTATCGCTAGCTATGGTCGCGGACTACAGTGACGTTATTATTATTGGTGGTGGTAGTGAAATAATTTGTGCGTAGTGATGATAAAGGGCCGAAAGAATGACGTCGTCCCGAATTTAATCTCCTATCTACCTGTTACCTGTTTTTATGACGAATGTTACTAGTGTACGACAGTGTCAATACTATGCAGGACAGAAGGGGAGGGCCTTCAATGAATTTTGGACTACACGCCCTACCACTGTCTTCGGAAAACTCATCATCCAATATACCGAATACTTTAAATGTAAGTTACCTAGCCCGGGTACAAGTTCCGAGTACATTAACTAGTACCTTTATCGCCTCGCTAATTTCCTAAGGAGAAAGAGTTAAAAATGCCCAATCGTTATATACGCAAAATTTAATTCTTTAAAACTGAACGTTCCATGTGTTTTATTCATATCATTAAATTATGAAATTATTTAATTGCTTCGATAAATTAATAATAATGCCTGGTTTAGTGATTTCTATAAATCATCCATCAGGATTAACAACGACGAGCTGAATCACATTTTTGTGAATATCTAATTGATTATTACCATAGGGATTAGTTATCAGGATTCGTAACTAATATTAAGATACTTGCACCATTTCTTAATTATTTGAATAGTCGAAATAATTTTTTTATGTTAATCCTGTACTATCGCCGTCGTTAGAACAGGACCTAATTTTACGTGCCCATCAGATATCATTTATGATATAGTAAATATGCCTGGCGAATTGTATAATGGATTTCGCATTAATTAATTTATAATTCTCACTTAATTAAGTGCTCTTGATCTGATAAAATTCCGGTTGTGCCAGACAACAAACAAATAAAAAGAACAACTAGGTACATTTGCATCATACTTAGGTACCACTTATAGTTTTAACGCAGAGTAACTAATCAATTTCTTGTAATAGTTGAATATTGAAAATGAGAAGGATATATAATAAATTAAGCGCAAACACGTACGTTTTGCCATTAGTAAAGACTTTAATGGGCAATATATCTATGAAATGTTACTTCTAAAATCACTGCTGTTTACCTTCCTTTTACCTTTACCTAATCAATACCTGAGAAATAAACAATTATCGTAGGTGCAAGTTTTTCAATTCAATTTTTTTAGACTATATTTTTGATCATATTTCAGTACGTATTTTCAAGTAATTAGTTTTCCGTTTTTCATAGTTCCGGTTTTATTTAAATTTTTATGTTTATAAATATTAAGTATTTAGTTTCGGAGTAGTTGAAATTGTAAAATTCGCAAAGTTTATTTTACAATTTGAAAACATTTCTTTGTTGTCACTTGAAAGACCTGCAGAAATAACGCTTACTCGTTAAATATACAAAGTAGATTTTGTTGAAAATTCCAGCCTAAAAATAAATTCGTTTAGATTTAAATTAACTTATGTACACGCTATAAACAGTTTTCCGTATTATATTTAAGTAACAACCATGCACTTTTAACTGTTTTATATTTTAATATCCCAAATCGACCAACACGAAACAAAAATAACAAACTATCATTAAATGAAGTGTCAACATTGCATTGCTTTAATTCTACGTAAATACAATAGTCACATGGTAGACGTTAAAGTTTTTTGTAATTTATGGCATTGCCGAACGTCGTTTGGCATAGTTTTAAAAAAATCCTCGTATATATAACTGAAAAGTGTTAAATTTACATGATTAGGTACTGCTGCGCCTATTTACGTCCCAATAGCTTCAAAAAGATTTTTTTGACAAGAGCTTTAGATTGTCTTTATTGGACTTATTTACCTAAACATTGGCGATGAAAAAATTTTTGAAATCGAATGCATAGTTTCTAATTTGTACGAATTTTCTTATAGCCAAAATTATTCAAAAAGTTGATATCGCTCTTTGATATCTATCTCTATGTTCGGTTCATAGCTCGCCACTACTATATATTATAGACACTTAATTGGTATAGTTTATACGTGGATAATATTTTATTGAATCCCGTGGGACTGGGAGGTGATAATTATTCAATTAATTTCTGTTATGGGGGCTTTGTCTTTGTGTTTTCGTCAATTGGTTTTGTTTTACGTAATACATAATTTAGCAAATGTTTTGAGAAAACAAATCAAACAAATTTGCATCAATATGTTTTTGCTAAATTGGATACCGGATTCTCATAAATATTCTTATTGTAGATACTGTAGATATCGCACTCTTTGTTGGTATAGTGTTTTTGTTCTACTTTTCTGATACCATAAACTTTTTCATTATATTAAAGAAGAGAGCATTCAACTTTTTGCGCTCGTTTTAAAGATTGAAAGTCCATAGTAATTTCAGCGACATACAACTTCTTCACTATAAAAGGTATTCTTGCTTACAGAACTAATCACAGCAGGTATTTAAGGCAACATATACACAATATATATAGTTATTAGATGAGTAGTACATATACACTTATTTAAATATGTACCTACCTATAAAATGTGCGACAGAGGACTTGAAGTTTAAGAGGTTGTTGTCTACGCGTTTAAAACAAAGTTAAAAAAAAAAAAAGAAAATGAAAAGAAAAGAAGCAAT